CCCCAAAACCCCAAAACCCCAAAACCCCAAAACCCCGTAGGGGTGGAAAGCGGTGGAAATTTAAGTTTTTGATATATTTATTTTAGATAATTGTGATATTGTGATGAGCATAATTGAGAATGGAAAGTGTGATCGTTGTGGGATTGAGGATAAGCAAGGAGAAGTTGTCAAATATCTTTCTGATGAGTGGACCTATCCTGATAGCGTCTTTGCAAGCGCTTCTCAGCAATATATATCGGGTGTAAGTAAACCAAAGTGAGAGACAATAAATGTTGACTGTCTTGGATGGGGCTTTTGAGAAGACTCAAATTTTCTATCCAGCCAAAGTAAACATTTGGAGGCAGACCCATTAACTCTTGAAAAGGAGAAAAAGGATTCTGGCAACTGAGACCCTTGAAGTAATTCTATTGAAATCCTGCACACCAATAATACTAATTTAAGGGAGAGTCTTTCGTGTCCTGGACAAAGGAGTTGAGATAAACAAGATATCCAAACCACCAATAGTATGAATTATGGACTGGAAGTTCAAAGAGAAGAAGAGAAGTACCAGAGTAACATCGAGAGAGAAAGAGATATTCCTTGTGAACTTCAAAGGCAACATATACCCCTACTTGGTCAGAGAGGTCATGGGAGGACAGATGTACTTTATAAGCCAGTATTGAGGTTTGTCAGAAGGTTCTTCAAAAATGCCTTTAAACTTAAAAATCCGGATGTTGTACAGAAGAGATACAGCAGGTGCTCACCTGGATATCTTTATGAGAAGATGCAGGCTATGCTTGAAGAAATGATACCTCAAGAAAATATTTCGCCAAATCTAATTTATTACACTATTGGGCTAGTCGGAGCAAAAAGCGAGGAGAAGTTGCCTTGTAACATATTAATAAAGAGTGAAATAAAGGATCTCAAATCTTGAAGCAAAGCATTTTCAAATCTGAAATTTGAAAAAGCTCTTGAATCAGAAAGTTTGCAAACTCTTTGTTGGTACCTCATACAACACGTGAAAGATTCATCAGTGAGTTTACTTAAGAATCACATGATTCATAGCCTTCACTAAGCCCTATCCCACCAAAATACAAACAAGATGAAAAAGTTTACTAGAACTTTTAGTATCAGAAAATATTAAACGACCCATAATATTTTCCTCTAAAATCCATTACAAAATCTCAACTTTTTCCCCTACTTCTTTATTTTCCTTCACCTCTAAAATTTTTTGATACCATAATAATATAATTTAGAGAACTCCACACACTAAATACCTAATAACCCTCATAATAATCAGCTTCTATCCAATATAAATCAGTATATTCAAAACCTCCCTATTCACCTTCCAAACCCCCAAAAATCCTCTCCTCTTCGTTATCTCTTCCGCAACCCAATCCAAAATTCCCACTCAGCCTAAATCGATTACTAGAAGCCAGGATTATGAGCAGGAGTTGCTTAGATATTTGTGGAGATGGGCAGGGGATTTTTGAGATTTATGGGTTTGTTTTAGGGAATGTGTGGACTTTGTGGGAGAAGACTTATTGAATCGAATTGGAGAATTTTGGCAATTTTTTAGAAATTTCTTTTAGGGTGAATTTAGAGAGGAAGGTTATGGGGCTAAGTTTTTGTTTTGTTTAGAGATGGAGAATCGTTAGGGTCATAGGCTAGCTTTAGAATCATTATTAAATGGCATTAGGGTTCATTTTAATAGAGAAATGTATCAGATATTAAAGTTGGAATCTCATAGTAAACTGAAATTAAAGCTACTAATATGGATTTTTTACTTAAACAGAATAGTTCTAGCTGAAATTTTTTCTCCAAAAAATGCCCAACGATATCATAAGAAATATTAAAGAAGATTGGGAATAAAGTTGAAGTCTATTTTACAAAAAGAGAGAGCGGAGATATCTATATCTTACCTTCTTGGTCTTCTGAACTGTTAATAAACTCCCTACTTATTAACAATTTTTTTAATTTATGCTGTGAATTTATCTGATAATTTTTACCTTGAAAAAGTGATACATGGAATCAAATAGGAGTGAATTTATAACAAGAGAGCTAGAGTGTTAACATTATTATCTCTATAATTTCTAATGAAGAACAGTTACTAAATATTATAAAAAATTTACTTACAATACCATCATAGACCAAAAAGTGCAAAGTTTTATTAAAATTTTTAGTGGCTTAGGAACAAGTTAAGTCCTATTATTTTGATATATATTTCTATGAATTTTCGTCTTAAAATCAGTTTTAAGAGCCCCTTTCATCGTCCTTAATTAAAAGAGGTTACCACATATTAAATTTAGAATCTAGAAATGGCTGATTTTATTGGTCATCAAAAGATGCCCATTGCAAAGAACTAACAATACAAATTTGTGTATAAATCCATTGGGTGATGCTTAACTATCTTAGAAGCTCTTTAGGTATTTAATGCCAAAGAATAAAATTTTGAACTTCGGATTCACTAGGTCTTTATAAAGAAAATATATCTGCCATTCGGTTTAAGCCAAAAACTACTTTGAAATTAGGCTACAGAAAGTAGCCTAATAATCTTGAGTAGTTTAAGAGAAGCTATTACTTCTTTTATATGTCCTAATATCGCTCAGAAAGACTCCGCTGCTTTAATCTGGCAAGGGATAGTACATGGTCATAATTTTTATTATATAGCTTGACACTTAGTGCAGATTGAAACCCATTTGATGATATGAAGAATTATTCAGCAGGTTTTACCTAATTGGGAGGAATAAAAATTCCAAATCTCCATAAAGTACCTCCAAACTCTGGTATCATTGTAAGTTATTTCATTAAGCCATTGTTAGTTGCTTCACCATAAATTTTATGAGGAGAGTCTAAAGAGCTCATTCCTAATCATTTTATTAGGGGTAGATCTGGATATATTATTGATCCCTCTTAATGAAAAACCTCCACCTGAGTAAATCCTATTAGGCAAGGAAAATTCAATGGGTCTGGAGAGAATAAAAGGCAAACAGACATCAGCGGCATGTGTTTATTGGTTTCAAACTTTAAATAGACTTTAGGAGTTAAAAAATTATTGAGGACTCCTAAGCTTTATGATTTTAGTACTACCAAGATGGTAAGTAGAGAATATTTATTGTACAAAAGTCTTCCAATGATAGCCAGGATTCTTGAGAATAAAGATATGCACTATACAATCTCGAAGCACTCAAGAATGACTCTACTTTGAGTGTGGAAATACAGAGTAATTGTCTCTAAGCCGAAGGTTGATCCGTATCTCTTCAAATTAGCATTTATCCAAACTGCTTTATAAATTTCCCTATGATGCTATTTAAAATAAAACTAGCTTAGAGATATAAAAGCTTTATTAGATAAACACTCTTGTTTTTCATCATTTGGGAAAAGAGAATATAAGCATTGGAATCTTCGCTACAGCGAAGCTATATCAGAAAAGATAAAATAGCATATTCACCCTTTCTTAAAAAATCACCATGATAAAAATAAAAAATAAAAAAACCTCCTAATTTATCCAAACTAAATAATCTCTCAAACCCAACTCCTTTAACCCTACCACCAACAAGCCATACCCTACCCCCCTTACCTTCCCTCCCCCACATCCCCCTCCCCCTAACCTTCCCACCAACCCCCTCTAAACCCTCAAAAACCACTAAGTCTCCTCTCCTGAATCCCTACTATTTCAATCCCTTCCTTCTGTGGCGGGGTTTTGGGGTTTTGGGGTTTTGGGG